ATCCTCTAAAGAGAATAACTATGACGAGCAGGAGCCAAACAAGAGGAAGGCGTACACCAAAACGTCTACCCTATCATCAAGTTTGTCGGATTCTCCACCTCCAACCTCTCCAACCCTGCTGAGTGGAAGCAGCCGGAGCAGCAGCTACAGCAGCATTGTCAGCAGTGATAGTTCAAACGGTATGGAGCAAGTTAAGTCCTCAGTGTTGAAAGGAAACAAGTCACGTGTCAAAAGTACCAAATCAGCTTCTTTGGAGGCTGGTGTCGGTCCACAGTGGTCTTCGACAGGTATGATTAACTGTCTAGCTCGAGTTTTAAGAGTTTTTCTTCACTAAAAAAGTTATTTGAATTCTGCGAATCAGCTTCATTGTGTTACCACAAGGTGATTTGATCGATTGTGAGATTTCAGTATCTTTGATATTATCAACTCCGTGGGTTCCCAGCAAAATTTGGTTAGATGGTTTCTATGACAGGAAGTAAAACCTCCAGGGACCAAATTTGAAGTAAATAGCTTCACTTTGATTTACCAGTGTTAACATCCTCACCTTATTTAACTGGTCATACTGTTTCTTTCTCTTATAACTAATTTGCAGGCTCCAGAAAGTCTAGCAAATCTGGCGAAGACCTTGGCTTGTCCGGTCTGAGGCGAAACCCTTGGTCCACGTCTGTTGATTCACATTTGACTCCGCGTGGCCCGGTCGGAGAGAGACCTGACAGGATGGCACCATCCTCGCACTTCATGCCTCAACACAGGCCATCTCTTTTGGATAGTCAGTCATATAACCGAAGAGGTTTAAAGAAACAAGCATCTGTTGGAGAAGAGAAGGCTCGTCCGTTGGACCTAGGTGATTTCGGACTGTCCGATAACAGTGCCACACGCAATCGAGGCCTCCCTGCCGAACATCGTCCCTATTGGAACAGTAGTGAGCAATGCTACCACAACCGCGACAGTCTCTTCAGCTCTTGCTCTCGTTCTTCAGAGGACCAATTTCCTGGAAAGAGCTCCCGACTGTCCAACAACTGGGTAAACTTCCTAGATGCTAGCAATACCAACAGCGGCGTAGTGTCCAGTAATAAGACCATGGCTGAGATATGGGATGTAGGCAACTCCCCTCAAGACAGTGATGGATGGTCCGTATACAGGCCACCAACCTCGTCTCCCGGGCAGCCTCTAAGCTCTGAAGCAGATGCTGTGGATGCGTTATTTAGTCATATGCCAAACTGGTCTGGCGAAGGAGCTGTCGTGGGACGAGAGTCACCGTTCAGCACCCAGGAAGTTACTTGGACCCCACCGCCTGACGTCTCTTCCATCTGGAGCGGTGGATACCTTGGATCAGCTTCTACTGCAGAGTCCTTGCCTACTTCAACAGCGGTTTCTTTCGCCTCCTACTCAGTGCAGCTACAGTCCAACCAAGATTCAACACCAACTTTTGATCCTTTGGGTTCTCTTGGAGGCGGCATCTGGGACCCCAGTAGCAAAGCTTCAACTTGGTCCTCCACATCAGAATGATTGAACGCCATTCGTAAGAGTCTCCTTTGCAACGATTTAAAGAATATGTTGATTTGACTTTGTCACGTTAAACTCCTTTTGTTTCCTAAGGAATCTTTTTTGTCAAAAGTTTTCAGAGGTTGAATTTTCAGGATTTGTTTCTTTCCTGTTAAAAGCAGCTGCGTCACAGTTTTTGTATCTTGTAAACTTTATCCTAAATTTTTCTAGTTCGTCTTTTGGAATCGGTTTAAGTCAAGTACCTTCGTGCTTTCTTATTTCCTCTGTTGTGTTTTATCTCACCGAATTAATATTTTTGTAGCTTCCTTCAAGTTGAAGGTAGTTCCATATGTTTCGAAAAATGATTCAAAAATCTTGACGCGGCTGTTTGAGATCTACTTCGACATTTTCCTCTATTTAAACAGACGTCATTTCTTTTCTGTTATTTTTAAATATCTTCCCGTTCCGTTTGTCTGAAATTAGGGATTTTCGAAGGCGTTTCTAAACACTTTAGAGTAATTTCTTCTTTTCTTCAAACTGTTAGGGTTTATCTTTAAAGTAACTTACTTTGACTCATATTGAGAAATTGAATTTCACGAACAGACAGAAAAAGGAGGAATAAGGCAAAGGATAAGATCTCGTTTTTCTATTGGTTGGCGTTTTTTGATTCTGAGGTGATTATCACTGGCGAGGAGCCCTTACACTTGGTACATGTTTCGTCCACTTAAGTTCCTTAGAGGGGTGTTGTGGTAACGATTGGGAATCCTTTCTTTTTTTTCCTGGATGATCTGCATGGCTGTTGACAAAGTGATAGGTGGATAGGGTGTACACGTTTGATTTTATCACATAAAATAGTTGGTGTCCTGGCGCTTACTAACGGGTTTCCAGGTTGCTCCAAAGTGTCCCTGTGTGTTTCAAAACGGGGTGTGCCACCGACAGAGTTTTCCGGCTGGCGTAAGTTGTATGCAGGTTCATTAGCTTGTAACTGTTGGGTACAGGAAAATGATGCTGGCTTCATTTGTTCATCATTTCGTCTACCGAAAAGTGAGCAGTTCAAAAAACGTTTATTACATCTCAAGTCAGTTGCATTTCTATGCTTATTCCGAACCAGCGTAACCCGAGTACCAGGCCTTCCTCTTCTCTGCCTGTTTGGGTTGGCGAAGAGGAAGCCTGGTGACTCAGGTTTGTGACGGCGCGCGAATATGCCTGCCACAGTCTTAATAAGACCGCTGTACTGTTATTTATAAGAAGACCCCGTTATTTATTGTTTTCCAGACATTTTGATATTAAAAAAGAGTAAAATGTGAGTGCAAAGTGAGTTATTTGGGTCGTTTTTACGCTGTCATCATTTTGTACTGTAGAGGATTTTATAAGAATTATTGCTAAATAAAGTTTTGTACGATCAGAGGTTAACAATTCGTCTGTTTTCTGTATTTTTACCCTTGTCCTATTTTTCTCCTTCTTCGAAAACTTAACTAAACATGCCTGAGTTACATACGGGGAGCCTTTGATTATAATGAGAATTTAATTAAACGGAACATTAATTAAGTTAACTCATGAGAATAGTACTCTGACATCGAAAGCAGCCAGAAATAGAGAAAATGTGAAAAAGTCAGGGTAACGTAAAGCGTTCACAATTGATGAGGCGTAACCTCTCAGACCATAAAAGCACAGAGATGGTACTATAGTATAGTTGGTACTATTGATAGAATGGATAGGTGTGACATTTACTGAGTCTAGCTGGTATTCAAGAGAATGTAATTAGTACCAGAAGCTTACTACTGGTAAAAATGATCAATCTTTTTTTTCTCTCCTTGCAACTTGCCTCGACTAGCTTATGCCATATGCAACTTGTGTCTATACCTTTTTGGCAACTGTAAAATTACCAATAAAGTTTTAGAGAGTTTTGTTTAAATTTTATTGGAAAAGAATACAGGGAGTGATCAGGTGAAATTTTGTCATGTTCCCTCAATAGTGCTGAGCTTCCAGGAGAGTTATAAAATTTCTTAAGTGACTGATGTATGATTTGTCTGCCTTAAAATTGGCACAGCCAAACCCCTGGCTAGAAAACTGTAAATTTCCTCAAATAGGCATTGAAGCCAATGCCCATTACGGCAGAATATGCAATGACAAAGTCCCCTTTTGACTTAAGTCTCATTTCTCTAAAATCTGATAGATGTAAATCATCCATTTTCCGAAAGAGATCAACAAACCTCTCCACTTAGGTTTAATCTGACCTTATTTAGTCCTGTTCCAGGGAAATATTTTGTATTTTATACTCACTGTTAAATATCAGCCCTTCTATTTCTTTGTCGTTTGACATGTAATAAGAGTCTTATGAGACCATTGAATTGTCACATAACTCTTGGAATTTGACGGGTTAGAGAATAAGGTTGGAAAGAGTGTATATGATTTTGTTTTGCAGTTGAAATGATAAATGAATATGATTTTTATTGGGAATTAATTGAATTTAATATTCATATTACAACTAAAAGTCCAAACTAGTACTTGTTTTAATTCACAATTTCTCCACATTATTGATCATATCTGATGATATTTCCGAGACTAATGATTGAAAAGACTTTTCC